CACACACACACACACACACACACACACACAGAACCTGCACCTGGCATACACACACACAGAGTACCTGCACCTGCCACACACACGCACACACAGATACCTGTACCTGACACACAGATACTTGCACCTGACACACACACACACACACACACACACAGAGTACCTGCACCTGACACACACACACACACAGAGTACCTGCACCTGGCACACGCACACATACATACTCAGAGTACCTGTGTCTGGTGCGCGCGCACACACACACACACACACACACACACAGAGTACCTACACCTGTCATGCACACATACCACACTACACTATGGCACCACACCTGTCTTGTATATCACACAGACACTACATGTAAAAGCAGTACCTCCATACATCCACACACATCTGCATGCAGCACATGTGTGCACATCCACATGCATGGACATGAACACACTCCAAGAGTTAAAAGGAATGTGGGGAGGGGCTGGGGTTGTCCTCGGCGGTAGAGCACTCGCCTAGCACATGCGAGGCCCTGAGTTTGATCCTTAGCTCCACATAAAAATAAATAAATAGAGATATTGTTTCCAACTAAAAAAAAAAAATAAATATTAACTAAAAAAAAAAATATTAAAAAAAAAAAAGGAAAGTGGGGAGCTGGTGCACATCCATAGTTCAGCCACTCAGGAGGCTGAGGCAGGAGGATCGCAAGTGTGATATCATCCTGAACAACCTAGTGAGACCCTGTCTCAAAATAAAAAATGGCTGGGGCTGCGGCTCAGTGGTAGAATGCTTGCCTAGCATATGCAAGGCCCGGGGTCAGTCCCTGGTACCACAAAGAACAAAACCAAACAACCCTATATCAAGGGCAGGAAGTGACATGGCAGGGCTGTTAGACAGAGCAGGGGTTTCCTGGAAATCAGGAAAGCAGCAACTGAGCATTGTTCAGCTTTGACAGTGAGCCTTATCAGTGGTGACCTTCCCAAGAGCAACTCCAGGACTGGATGGGGGCCAAAACCAGACTGTTTCAAATTGAAGAGTGACTAGGAAGTGTAGAGGAAACCAGAAAGTTCTCAAGAAGCTTGTAAAGGGGTGGGGGAAGCAGGGGGCTGGCTGTAGAGGGGTTGAGCCTTGGAGATTTGCCCACATTTGGTGCAGCTGTGGCTGCTTTGGGGTGGGCGGACATATGTGCAGAGGGTTCCCTGGAGGCGGAGGGGATGGGGTCCTCACGTAGGTGCTTAGGCGAGGCCCTTCCTCCTGCGACAGTGGGAGCAGGACTCCGTCTGAGCAGAGGCAGTGGGCTGGGCATTTGGGAGAGTGAAGGAGGGAGTTGGGCACTGTCAAGACTGGGCGAGTGAGCTGCCTAGAGAAGGGGACTCTTGGCAGAGGCTGAATATCCCCCTGGCTTGGGCCTGGGCCAGCCCCTGGGGAGGCGTGAAGGCCAGGGTCAGAGGCTTTCTGGGAAGTGCAGCAAGAGGGAACTGTGCTGTGGCTTGGGGTCCTCAGGCACTCTGGGGAGGCAGGCTGAGAAGGGAGAGGGCAAGCCTCCAAGGCAGGAAGAGGAGAGATAGCAGCGCTCCTATAGCCAGGCCAGTGCTGGGAGGCTGTGGCAGTCTTCACACTAGGTGGTTGCAGGAGGGTGCTTGGGGGAAGGAAGCTGTTGAGCCAGCACAGATGGTACCAACCAAGTGCCCTACAGCTTAGTCTAGGGTTGTGGTGATGAGCCTGGTAGCGGCACCTGACCAAGGCTATTTCAGGGGGGGTCTAGGAGTAGGAACAGGACAGAGGGAGGTGAGAGCAGAGACAGGCTGCAGCACGGGGCAGTACTGGGTGAGTAGCTAAGCTGGTGTTCGGATGCCTGTCACTGCCTGTTTGCCATAGCTGTGACATTGTCCTCTCCTCTGCCGGCCCCAGTGCAGGACTTGACAGATGACCACCTGGCCAGCAGTGGTCAGGTGACCTCTGTCCACTGAGTGGCTGGTGCTAGATGTTGTCACGGCCTGACTGTTTTCTTTGCAGTTCCGGGTGCTCTTTGCCAACCTGGCAGCTCTGGTATGGTACATCTATCTGGCCTCTCTGGGGTAGTGACGTTGGCCTGGGGAGGACATCAGGTGCATCTGGACAGGGGAGAGCAGAGCCCAGCCAGGACGTCTTCTGACTTTAAATCATGTGATTTGAGATGCCTCAGAATTGTGATTGGAGAAACAGAAGTCTCTAAATGTAAGAGTGCTGTGTCTCAGAGGTGGCCTCATTGCCTGGACCAAGAGGTTGCAATAAACAGAGATGATCAGCTGCTTCCCTGGTGTGGTTTCTCAGAGGACAGGTCACTGGGGTTTCCCTCTGTGCTGTGGCACGTGCACAACACATAGCTTGCTGTCAAAGCACACAACTCAGTGGCCCAAAATGTGGCCAGTATTATGTGGCCACTGCTCACCCTTCCAGGACTCTCACCTTCCCATGGTGAAGCTCTACCTCATGAACACCAGCCCTGTCCCTGGGCCCCCGCCATCCCACTGTAAGTTTGAGTGAGGGTGCCTCATGCAGCAGCATCACAGGGCACTTGGCTTCATGACTGGCTCAGTCGCCTCCATAATATCTGCCGTGGTCTGAATGTGTCCCCTCAGAATTCAAGTGGAAGCTTAACCCTGCTGGGGGGCTGTTAAGAGTGGGGTTTAGGGAGTGGTCAAGCCCCTTGTGAGTGCATTAAGCCCTTATGAAAGAGGCTTAGGAAAGTGGGTGCCTCTTTGCCCTCCTGTGCCTACTGCCATATGGGACAGTGCTGCAGAGTACTCAGCACAACTAGGACAGGTAAAAGGGCGGCAGGCAGTCAAGGCAGTGGCCCTCCAGAAGGCTTCTCTAAATGTACAGCTACTCCGTGAATTAACCTGTAGGAACATTCCAAAATTTCCAGCTACTCCTTTGTCTCAGAGCATCAGAAAAAGGAAAAGAGGGACAGACCTGAGTGAAGCCTACAAGGGAAAGCCTCAAGGGCACAGTTAGAAGGTCATGGGCCAAACCAATAGCTCCGGCACTTTTCCAAAGCCTGATTAACAGTAGTCCTAAGTGGACATTATATCCTGCTGGCTGCTGGCACTCACACCTTTGTGGTGTGGCTACCTGTTGCTGTCCTCTGCTGCAGGGGCTGTAACCCCACTGACCGTTACAGCAGCAGAGGCAAAGAATGTGGTTGCCTGTCCAACTGGTTTCAGTGGCACCATCTTGGAAGCAAAGAGTTATGATTGGTAACTCTACCCTGGGCTTCCCAGACTCCAGAACTATGAGAATTCTGGAGGCTGGGAACTCTATCAAATACCCAGCCTGTGGTATTTCATTATCAAGGCTCATCCATGTTAATAGCATTTTAAGAATGTCCTTCCTTTTTAAGGCTAAATGATCATTTCAGTGTGTGTGGATATCATGTCATGTTTTTTTTGTTGTTGTTGTTGTTTTTTGTTTTTTAAGGAGAGAGAGAGAGAGAATTTTAATATCCATTTTTTAGTTTTTGGCGGACACAAAATCTTTGTTAGTATGTGGTGCTGAGGATCGAACCCGGGCCGCATGCATGCCAGGCGAGCACGCTACCGCTTGAGCCACATCCCCAGCCCCTGTCCTGTTTACTTTTGTTAGTGGACATTCAGATTGTCTTCAGCTGTTGGCTGCTGTGCTCCTGCTATTAACACCGGAGTACGGTATCTGCTCATGTGCCTGCTTACCCTCAATTTCAAAGAACTGTTCTTTTGGTTCAAAATACATCAGGGTGGGGTGGGGCAGTTGCTGAAGGAAGTTTAGAGTATTTGCAAGAGTAACAGGTGCTCCTGCAATTGAGAAAGACCTTGATGATCACACTACTTCCTGTCTTGGCAGAGTCTACATTCAGTTTTAAGAGTTTGGCTGGGAGGAGTGGCACTCGCCTGAGAACCCAGCTCTCTGGAAAGCTGAGAAAGGAGGACCACTTGAGCCCATGAGTTTGGGGCCAGGCTGGGCAGCATAGCAGCAAGACCCCCTCCCCACCTCTCAAAAAAAAAAAAAAGTCCAGTTCCCAATTTTAGGTGCAAGCCGTGGCACCAACATTTGCTGAGGGAGTTACTATGCTGGAGCTCATGCTGATCCTACGAAAATCCCATAAAGTAGGCATCATCCTTTGTTTCCATTTCACAAATGGGGAAACTGAGGCAAGACCGCTAATAGGTGAATCCTGGATTCAGATGCAGGATTCTCTGCCACCACTTTCACATATGGGTTCTCAGGATGTCAAGGGTGAAGCCAGGAAAAAAGAAAAAATTTGGGGTACTATTTTTTTAAAGTAATGCAAATTCATACTCTTGGGTTTCTGGCTTATCACGGCCTGCTTTCACTCGGTTCATTTCACACACGTTTACTCGGAGCTGCCAGGCACACAGGAAAGCAGGGAGCGAGGCTGTTAGTGTCCCCACTTGGACATTTACCAGGAATACGGAAAATATATAAAGGTGGTCACACGGACTGGACACGGTTTAAAGAGAAAGAGAAGCACTTTTATTATCCTCAGTTCTGGGTACCTTGACAAATAATATTTTAGTTGTATATTTGGACAAAATGAACCCATACAAAGGTCCATGAAGCTGCACTGTTCTGCCAGGGCAAAGCCCCGGGACGCATGCTGCTCGCCCTCCGCCTGCAGCGAGGCGGGCGCCGGCCTGCACCCACAGGTGCAGCGTCTTCCCAGGCTGAGGGTCGCTCGGCGGTCTCCAGAGCAACTGCCGCCATCAGGGCGGTGTCGGACGGCAGGGGCGTGAAAGGACCTGCGCCGCTCGCGTCTGGAA